CAGCGATTGTTAACATTCACATGGTTTTGGCTGATCTGTTAAGTGAAAAAGGCGAACTTCGCCTATTGAATTGCTGGAATGAAAGAATGAGCATGTACATCTTATCCAATATTTAGGAACACTCTCCAGCCACGTTGTTACGCTACACTATTAGTTGTTTCTTGGCCTAATCTGAAAATCCGAGCACGGTCTTATTACAGCATTAAGAAGGCCAATTGCATTAAATTTCTATCTTGAAAATATTGGTGCCTATAGCGCAGTGGTTAGAGGTATTCTTAAGTACACACATGGTTGTTGCTTAGACATGACCTTGTGGGCTAGCCAATCCTGGAATCGAGAAATTGATACAAGATTTGTTTAGGATGTTAGAAATACCTTCGTAATACATCGGGATGCACCCACAAATTATTCTATAGACGAAATATGCGTTCAGTCACCTTTACGATGCTTAACGAAGTTGAAAGGGTGGCGCTTTACGAAAGAATTGATCACGATGAGAACTCTATCCTCTTGTACTTTCATGTTGAAAACAGAACTGGCGCTCAGAGAAGCTGTGAAAAACTCGGAGAAAAAGATTTTTTCTCTCTCTACGCTTTACAGAGTCTCGCGTTGAGGCTGTTATTTTTAAGCACTTTTCGGAAAATGTGGTCCTTGATCCTTGGAGTGTAACACTTCAAACGCATGGTGATTCAAATGTATGGTGACTAATAACAAGTATTTTCCGTTTGCTCCGCTTGGAAAAACCTTCCTCAGTTCGCTATCACCTGTATAGTCTAGTGTAGTTTGCGGCTGTCGTATTTTGTGTTTAACTTGTGAATAAGAACGAAGAAGCGACGTAGATCTACTAAATATTTAAGCAGAGCTAATTTATTCGTAAAATATCAGTAAGTTTACGATTTTATCAGCCTTTTCAAGACCTGCCACTTCAGACAGTAGTGTGAGCTTTTATGTGAAGATCCTTAGTTTTGATAGAGTACTTGCAAGCATTTCATGGCTATAATGGCCATAGTCGATTACGACTAAATGGCTTGGAACTAAATTGGAAAACCAGAGGCGAGTCGAAGGAGAAGAGCTATGGTGATTTATGGGAGTTGCTTGGAACTACTTCGTTTAGTGTCATCTGTTACTATCACGGAGAGACGACGTACGTCCCGTGTGTACTGGTCGTAGTAACAATTGGGCTGTTGTGAGTCTCTCCCCATTCAACTTTTGTGCTCCCTTCCACAGTGTTTATCTTATTTATTGTTTTGCAAATGATCTGCGTTTATGTCTTAGTTTATTGAAGTGCTTACAGAAGGTTGTTCTAGAATCTTATTGCAAGTCATGTTTCGCCTCCATCGGCCTCATCAGTGTCGTTATGATTCGAGTCGAGTTTTTGCAGCAGTTATTTCTTGCAATGTAATATTTCATAGTCAGATTGAGTTCAAATGAGTTGAGTGAGGCACTGCGCAAAATAGGTGAATAGCTCCAGCAAACTTTTGTAACAACTTTACCTAAACTGGTTAATAAACAAGAATACTGCTTATTCATGCCGAGGTTTAGTTGAAGACACTTGAGATTTGCGAATCATTGGACATGGTTTTTCTCCTTTTTCTGACATACAACGTTTCTGCATGCTTTTGGTTCTACACACTAATCTGGATACCTAGATGGCTTTGTTATCTTCAAGAGCCTTGGAACAACCAACATATCGGAGTTCGTTACCACAAGCACTCCTCGACCTTTGTGAATCGATGGGAGGTTTACCGCATTGCAGCCAGGTGTCTTCCAGAACGGTAACGATTCTTGGTTTTTTTAAAACTTTATCTGGACTTCTGAATAAAATTACCCAATGTTTTGTTCAGAGTTCCTCTGCTGGTGAGTGGAGAATACCAGTTTCCATAGATTTATCGTTTCATGTTAAGCATTTTCTAATATCACAATGCTTTGGAAAGCTTTAGAATTCCATTTTTGCAATGAACAAAATTATCTATATTATAATTTCTCATTGTCTTTTCACTAATCTGCTTTTAGTGTTTGCCCATCAACGTTGCGCGAAAGCAGGGTCCGCGTGGGTGCACTTGTAGTTTCCTTGAAGACTGTTTGCATTTTGCGATTCTCAGATTTCTTCGTTAACTGTAATGTTTGCTTTCTTACACAATATCCTATGTTGAATTTTGTGTGAATAATTTGGAAAATACTCAGTAATATAGCACTGCGTTCCAATATATGGCCTCGTGTAGCGCAATGGTTAGAAGTACCATGCGATTCACATGGTCTTTGGTTCAATCTCACATACGCGCTAACAGGTCTTCCATCTCTATGGAATCAAATAATTAGGATGATAATTAGGATGTCTAGAAGAATGAAAACACTGAACTGAGACATCGATGAGACTCTACATTGACTGCTTAGGCTAAATATATATTCGGTATACTTAATGAAGTCAATTGCACGATGTAGCTCTAAGGGATAAATTATTGTTGAACGATTTATCCTTCACACTTTCATTCCTCTATAAATATTTCGAAACCTTTTATTCAGTACATCTTTTCTTCAGTAAATAATCAAGGCAAGAATAAGAGCAGATTCAGGTTTTGATGCTTTAATAGTGAACATTAGTAAAAGCTATAAAGGATAAAGCTCTCGTCGTTGATCAATCCCTGAGGGATGCGGCATGCATTCAACTTCATTAAGCATCGTTTAGAGATGATTGAATGCATATCTGGCCTTTTACAATGACTCGCGGTGGCCTAGCGATGTATCGAGCCAGTGCTGCTATCCTGCCAAACAAGCCTGGTACCAATTTGCCGACCCCGGAGGGATGGAAGGCTTCGTGGGACATGGATGCGGGGATCCATTCCAAGTGTGTGTTGCAGCGCGGCTCCGACCACTGCGCCACGCTCGTCCCTAGTGAACATTAATAATGGGAAAAATATTAATAGTATCAAAATATCAATGCCTATTTATTTGCCCACGTGCATAGAGTGGCTGGTTTAGATAAGGACAGCGAAATTTGCATATTATTCCAACTTATGATGCCATGTTCCGTGTTGTTATCAGTATTAATAGTGTAGAAAGTATGGCTTTGATACTCAGTATCACCATTCTTTCTTCATCATAATTTGTTGTTGTAAATCGTGAAATCGTATCGTCATTAATCTGTTTAAAGACTACTGAAGAGTGTTTCTTATGATTTATAGCTGATTGACCAGAGGAGCAATTCTGTCTTTGCCATCGTGACGACAGGTGCCTGGAATTTTACGTCTGAAGCCTCAGCACCAGTGTGCCTTACTGCACCACGACACGAAGTAATTCACTTTTGCCTTGCAACACTACGCATAATTGATGCTAGCGTTGGCGCACATCTCCATTACAGCGCTATGTACTTGATCCCCGGCACTACACTCTGCAGAACTCGCCTACAACATCGACAATGGTTGTGGTGAAATGCTATTCCACATGCCTATTAATCACTGACAATGCAATCCTCGTTGATCCGGCGAGCATTCAGTAGATTCACAGTGTCACGCGGGGATACGAGTGCTCCTGCCACCAGATTACAAATGAGCCCCAATTTGATATTAAGCTAGAATCCAATTGAAGATATTGCTTTCTTTTCTGCTTTTAAGATAATCTTTTCTGGTATTCATTGATTTGAACATAATTTGATCATTCTCCATGGAATGAATGGCTAACATTCGTCATCACTATACGAACTGGTAGCATTTCAAATTTGCGTATCCATTGTATCTCTCGATTGCGAGGAAGTCTCCATAGGCACTTAGTTGTTCTGGAAACAATTCGTGACCCAAGTAGGGCAATGAGTATTTTTATAGTTGTTAAATGCTTACTTATGCTTTCAGATGTAGGGCGCTTCCACTAGTAATATGGGAAATTACTGGTGATCTTCGATAGTTTCATTTTTCGTGGTTTCCAATGTTCTCGCTTAATTAATGTCACTGTATATCATCCATAATTAAGTGAAATAAGATGACACACTAAGCAAAGCTTTCAGTGGAACAAACCTCATCTTAAACTACAACATCAGTTAGGAATTTTTTGCAGTGTTTGTCTTCTCACTCATTCGTAACAGTTGATTGATTCTAGCATGTACATAAATATACATATGTATGTATGTATATATATCTCATTTTTCCGAATGCAAGGGTATTTAGAGTTTCCGCCATGTCTTTTTAGGCAAGCAGTAGAATCCACCTCAATCCTTGGCATCAGACGACGCTTTTTCTAAGCAAAGCACTCTGATTATGCTGTTTATTTCTAGTTGGTTTTGTCATTTTTTATAAAACTAAGTGTAGAGTAGCTAGCTTGAGCTGCATAGGCTACGTAAACTAAACTAAATTTAACGTGCGTAAACTTCGTAGTAACGAAACACTACTGATGGTGGAGGATTGGCTGATTGGTCGTTTCTAGACGAGTTAACGATACACTGACTAACACATAGCTAGCTAGTTGCCTAATTTGCCTCAGCCTTCACCTCAGCACTCCTTCCGAATCCACACCGAAGTGACAAAACTACTCGCCCATATGGTCCAATCATATTAACGTTTCTGAAATTTGGAAATCTCTTTCTTTAAGCATTTCCAATAGATTCTACTTGTAGAGGTGTTGTAGTGATATTCTGCCCATTTGTATTATTTATTTGTTGGCTGACGGAATGTGGTCGCTATCCGTTGGCTAGAAATGACTACCAGTCCAAAAAACACTATCCTGTTGTTTCCTTTTTGTGCAACACTATGCGTCAGATTTTACGAATTGTTGCTGTATTTGAGAAAACATATGGAATTCTTATCCTCTCCCCTTTTTTCTAGTGTAATCACGGTCGATAGTGATGTGCTGTTTGGTTAGTCACTGAATGAATGAATAACTGACACTTCAGATCGCCGTGTATGCTGCGCAGATGTGACTGGTTACCTAGAATTACTGTCGCGTCGAATTTCAAACGATAGCTTCAAATACTTCTGTAGTTGAACAGTCGTTAGCTTTAAACATTCGTTACAATGGGATGTGCGTTTCGTGCTCACTTGAATCAAATCTGCTCCATCTGGTACACCGTGCTAATATTATGCATCCAGAGCTATCTTCTCTATTTAGGCTTCGAGAGGTAGGAGGTGTTTTTGATATGTATACGAATTTCTTTTGTATTCACTGGTGAATTATTGCCTCGTGATTATGCGTCAGGATGTTTATTAAACTTATGTATCACAAGTGCTTTTGCATACCCTTAAGGAGACTTATGTTTTTGGCTGATTTTTGTAGTTCTCAAAAGTGTACGCAAGAGGTATTGTTCGAGTAAAGTATGCTGTGGTTCAAGGTACAAACTATACACGGAGATGAAATGGCCGACAGGTGGTTACCCGCACGCATGGCTCACCATCTACATCACTCTCTATGCTGTCTGCATCCCATTGTCTTTACTTTTTTTCTCGTTTGGCTTTTTCAAATCCGGAAACATTGCTGGAGATAATGAGAAATTGGCTGACAGAGAAGATCGTGTTATTGAACTGTCTACCAATCGGAAAGGAGAAAAATCAGGTAAATAATGGCGTTCTTTTGTGCACATACGCTTGTGTACTTAGGAGTCGCTAAATTTCTCTTCCGTACTTTTTAAGTTAAATTTCGTAAAACACATCTGTTAACTGAGGACATTTAAAAGTTAGTGAGTCAACAAGCGATGTGATCATCTACCTGTTTATTCTTAGTCGCTGGGATCACTCATAAAACAGGGTAAGACGTAACTGGCACCTTGTATTCCTGACAAATGTTCACTACATGTACATTCCTTACACATTGTTTTGTACTAATACATTGAATTCATTTGAAAATCAATTGAGTAAAGTTGCATGAATATCCACAAAATTGTTGTTGGAAAGGTAAAAAATTTGGTTTCAACACATTTTTGCCGGTAACCTGTTGGTGTTTCATGAACTTGGTGAACACTCCAAGCAAAGGTAGAGTTGAGTTTAATATCGACAACATAATCATGTCTGATTCTTGGACAGTTGTTGGCTTGGAATTCTAAGGCATTGAGCACGAATACATGTTTTCGAGTAAGGCATTAAAATCCCAATGGCCGAGCCTCAAAGGGTATCACGTCTCTTACTCGTATCATTAACAGCTTATATATAGATATATACATATACACGTTCTTACTTTCTTACATTCATACTTACGTCGGAGATCTAAAATTCGGTTCAGTAGTAGTGGTACTCTTAAGGCGAACCATGACATAGGCCTGATAACAAAGGAAATGGTCTTCAGAGTGACTGACAGCATTCTAAAACGAATGTTCGATAGTAGAAGGGATGAGGGCTATGTTCACGTTGAGAAGTCGACTCGTCAGTCATTCAGTAGTTGACCATTCTGAAAGCATCTTGTCTAGCGATTCCACCGCTATTAGGATACTGTTGCTGATGTCTGCCTTTTAAAATATTTTCATTGGAATCCAAATATATAAGTATAATGGTATGAAATTAGCAAAGGGATACTCCTGTTTTGAAGGTTCATTACTTAGATAAAAATCTGATTTGTATTTAACATTTGTTCATATTGTTATGCTGACACGATGTTGATAAATTAGTTCATTCGGCTAACGTTTGTTTTTTTCGTTCTTTTTCTTATTTTTTAATTTTTTGACATATTTAAACGTTTACAAAAACTTGTTTGCATTATTTGTAGTTGTGCTTTATACTTCACTTTCGTGAAGTTTCAAACTGCTTAGCGCTTATTGGCAACCATTGTGCTACGTGGTAAAAATGGGCATGTTTCAGGATGTCTGCATACCGTGAAGTCCTGCTGGCAGCACAGCCCACCGATGCCGCAGCAAATTCATGTCGTCACTGCTCTCTGCCAACTGGTCGCACAGCAATTCATGATTGCTCAGTTTTGTCGTCATGGATTTGTCAATTCTGGTACGCAGAGGGTTTATTATAAGCTCAAGTGCACTACGAAGAGCTCATCATGAGCTCATAACTCTGACTGCATGATCGATAATTAGACTACTCTTGTGGACTGCGCATGCCATGTAGATTAAGGCACATGGGGAGCGTCCCCATTGTCTGCACGCGAATGCATTGGGAAATGGCATTGGTTGAGTGAACGCAAAGGTTATTAGATCACCTAGAAAATCTCGCTTTATTATTGTTATAGTGAATCGTGATATTGCCAAATTCTTGCTCATCACTATTACTACTACTCGAAAAATGGTTTAGCCTTGGGGCATTTTCGGGTCCTTGCTTCTTTTGACTTCAAAATAAGCTTGTTCTCAAGTCTTTAGTTGTCGTACGACGAACCTTAATTCTTGAAGAACTTGTTTCGCTATCCGTTACAAGTCGTGCTCTGCTTCCTGTCCACTTTAAACAGATGAAAATTCACTGTTGCTCAAAAAGCTAAGTGTAATAAAATTTCTCTGAGGTGTTTTTAATATGAACACTTTCCATTCTGCATCATTTTGCTGTCATGAAATGTCCATTTTCACCAAGGAGGGTTGAGGTGAACAACCGCAAGAAAGAAATCACTGCTGCGTAAACGACAGCTAGACTCAAATTTTTACCCCATCTACAGCAATACGGTTGCAAATGTACATCACTAAAGTATCATCTCACTACCCACTAGTACATATTTTCAAGTGAACTGCTATAGAATTCTTATGTTTTTGGTTCTTTTCATGGTAACTTTAACCACTCGGGTAACTGCGAGCAACCTTTAGTGAGCTTCTTAGAGGATTAGCGCAAACGAATCGGAAACAGTATCGCTTAGGGAAGTTTCCGGTGTGTAAAGTGCTGTTTTTCTTACAATGTGTTTGAAAGAGGGTTTTCAAAACGGAGAGCGGTACGAAGCACTTTGAGTAGAAGTGGGAGGGGAGGGGTCATGTTTACATTATGCAATGAGCAGATGTCACACATCTGCGTGAGTAAACCCCCTCTCAAGAGCGCCTCCCATTCTAGTGATGGTTTTCCATGGGGCATCACAATACAGGAAAAATTCCCCTATCATCCGTTCAGTCAACACAGGAAGCTTGGACGTTTATCGACGTGTCTTAGGCATCGTAGTTCAGATAGCAGCAATCTGTATACAGGTTCGCTGAAAGACACTGCTTAACGAAGCAAAGAAAATGATTTCCTAACGCTTCACTGATTTCCTATTTAACAGAGAACTTATTTGTGACAATGGTAGAGATATATGACCAGATACTAAACCATGTTGAACGGGTGAAATAGTTATTTATAACAAAGTTATTAAAAGGGGCGCGTGTGGCGCAGTGGTCGGAGGGGCGCTGCTGCACACACGTGCAATCGATCCCCGCGCCCATGGCCCACCAAGCCTTCCATCCAGCCGGGGTCGGTAGATAGGTACCAGACTTGTGTGGGAGGATAGCAGCGCTGGCTCGATACATCGGTAGGCCACCGCGAGTTTATTTTTGGAAATTGTAAAGGCCAGACATGCATTCAATCACCTCAAGTGATACTTAATGAAGTGGAATACATGGCGAATCCCTCAGGGATTGATCAACGCCGAAAGCTTTATCCTTTATTATTTAACAAAATTATTACGACTTACTGGGAATTCGAGTGGAATTATGAAAATTTGCAGCACATTTGGATAAAATTATAGCACTGTGGAGTTTCCTAAATTACGCATTCTTTCTCGATTAACAGCATTCAAGTCATTTTTCTCTTTGTTTAAAGATTGTCCCAATATTGGCCTTTGATTGACAGTGATGGTTAATATCCAAGTTTTTCTTAATGTGTTAACCGTTGTGAACAAATTGGTGACTCTTCCATAGTTTTCCCGTAGTTTTCATTTTCCAAGCGTTTGAAAAATTTGACTTAGTAGTATTGACTTCGATGTAGCTAAAAAATTGCGCCGCACTCGATCGAATTGTTTAGCAGTTGGTTGGCACTATAACGGAAAACAAACGCCGATGCTGTGGCAAAATTTTTTTTACATGAGACTATTATGAAAACCTAGATGAATTAATAGAACACTGAAACTGGAACTCTTCTCACCGCCACTTCCAGTACTCTCAGAGGTTCATGCAAAGCCCAACTATTCTCTCCACACCGTAGTGAAATGTTTACCAATCTCACTCTCAGCTGATTTAGCTACATAGCTTCTAAGCTGTCTTCCTCCGGTTTTTGTAATTTTTGTTGGAAGCAAACCTGTCAAAACGTGATCGGTCAACTGGTTTCGTGGTTTATATAGACACGTCACATCAACTTTTTTTGTTGCATAGCCAATCAATTGGGGGTGGTTTTGTGTGTGATTGCGTGTTCTTTGTAAAATGTATGTCCACATGGTGATAGCAGAAGCGAGAGAGTACTTAGTAAAGTAACTAAGCCGTCAGAGGCATCATGGTAACGGTGTGAACTCAATTAATACGCTTTCACCGGAGGCACAAAGGACATTGGAGCATCCGTACGGGCATGCGACTGACAAGTGGCAAATCCGAGCGCGTAGTTGCCATGAAAAGTTTGCTACCTACACATGCACTCATTCGTCTGGAAATAAATGTGCGGCGGAAATATGTCGCACGTTAGTTCTTCTTTGGGAACATATCCTCAAGTATTGAATCAAGCCACCGTAATTTCCTTTCACTGATGACACCAAGTGAGTGTTCTATTTCCCATTAGATCAGCTGGAATTGATTCCAAAAAATATAATAAACACAATGATGCTACAGCCTCAGCTTAACTGGGTTCGTTGCCGTTTTGGGCTCCCTAGATCAATCGCGTTGATGGGTGATTGCTGATGGCGCTGATCGACAGAACTGGCTGAGAAATAGGCGAAACGAAGGACCCGCATGGTGTGGTGGTGAACGTGTTAGCCCCCGGAAAGGGTGATACCGCGTTCGTTCCCCAACGCATACATCTGTGGTCCGGAGGTTTGCAAATATCTCAGCTTCATTGTGGTTGTTTCACACATGTTACCCTGCCGCGAAAAATTATAATAGGCAATAAATAAAAAGTTAAAATTGTAATGAACATAGTTTGACAAAGTCTTGTATCCAGTTTAAAATTTCAGTCGAGAATGTTTAAGAACATGCTAACCATTTATAAAAGTTATTTCCGTCACACATCCGAATTGGTGTTATTTCATCATCTTCGTGGAAAGGAAAGGACGTTATTCACAAATATTTTTTGTATCAGCGTTTTCTCCTTCGATTGTCATTCTACTTCCATATGTATGCCGAGTTTTGTTTTTAGGTGATTTTCTAAATACCGAGTTGGATTTTCTTTACCAACGTGCTCGACAACTGGCTACAAATCTACCTATGGGCGAAACACGTCTTGCTGGTTTCCAGATTACTACTGAAGAGCTTCGTGGGTCTCCACTAGCACCCAACTTATTGCCACGTACGTCGTTCACTTTTTGTTCTACTGCACATAAGTATTTAAGCAATTTTCAGTGTTGATGAACTTTCGCCTATTTGGAATCCCTCTAGAGTTCGTGAATTTCATCATCGCTCTCATTGCATATGCCTCTTCGTATCCCGCGGTCTTCTGGCGTGTGTCGAAGTCGTTCAGGTATGTGGAGAGGATTCTCTGAGTGTGTTAACATTTTCAACCAGATTAATTGATAGTTTCCAAATTTTCGCAATTACATTGCCGGGATTGTATTAACAACTGTTAAGGTGGGTTTTTTCTGTTAAACATCTTCAATTGCCAATGGTTTTTGGTCAAATTCAGTTGTCAGTGTAGGAGACATTAATTTCAGCCTAATCTTTTCTCTGCACATGTTCATTCACTGTGTTGCGATGATCTGGGGATACCTAGGATTTAGTATCTTGTTCAGAATACAGGAGACCAACTACAATAGCCTGCGACCAGTTGGACTTGGTAGCTTTTTTTAGTATCAGAAAATTAAGTTTTCAGTTAATGAAAAATATGAGACAGGTATAGACAAAGTGGCAGTTCAATCTTGACGAATTTGAGTTTTTAGCTAACTCTCATTCAAATTAGAATGCTGAGCGTTATTGAAGCGAATTAAAAGTTTATAAACCTTTCTTTAGTAAGGTAAACCAGTTCGTAAGGTATTGGTGGAACTAAAGTCCAGTTAAAGAAAATACCAAATACTTTTGCTTTTTCCAGTGAAATTTGCTCTTTTTTTGGAATTTCGACCAGTTTCCATGACTTTGTTCCAAATGTTCAGCAAAAACATCATTCAGTTTCCATTTGTACTTGAGCCTAGATCTAGTAGATTTGAAACGTCGTGCTGATCTTACAGCGCTTCTAGTTTTTCGTCTCTTGAAGATGTAAATGTGTTCTTCTCAGGACAATACTTAGTGCAGTCCCGGAACTGGCCATTCTACCATCCTTACGTTATTGTTTTAACATATGTCACATCTTTGGTTCTTATGACAATAGGACCGATCGCTCTCTACTCTTATGGATACAACAAATACTTCGTAAGTATTCTCAATGCACCATAAAAATTGGACGAATACATCGTTTTTAAGAATTAATGGTTTTGAAGTTAGAATAGAATGATCATCTATAAGTGTGTAAGCCTGATAATAAAACAGTTTGAATGTTTTCTTTCTCTTCCATCCAATACCATTGAAGCACCATTAAAAAAGAAACTAATATAATAATAGATCTAATAAAAGAAACTGTCGATGAAAATACTTTTGTGTTTATTGTGTAATTTTATAACTCATTTTCACCAAGGTCTGTGAACCACGGCAAAGTGAAAGTTTCATTACTGTCATTAACATTTGAAGGTAAACGTAATGAGCTACCAAGCCAAGAATCATCTTTGCGTCAGCAGTACTGGTGGTCAGAGCGAATATAGCGATTACAAACGTCGTAACTACACCAGGCTACCAAGTCGTGAACTTTGCTGTGATGGGTTAGTTTACTTAAAAGTGGCTACACATGGCCCCATGTTAATATCACGTTCTAATTTGTGAAGGAAAGCTGTCATCTTTCTTTACAGTATCCTTTTTATTGGAGCAAAATTTACTTTCCATGGTACGTTGATTGCGCCGAACGGCAATGAACTCTTTGGCTTTCATTTTCGCTTGCAAAAATGCTCCAGCAGGTTCTGATCGCACTAGGTACTCGAAAACGTCGTGTTTTCTTCCTAATGCCTTCTTGAAGAAGGTTGACAACTTGGCGGTTACATTTCTGTTATGTAGACATACGGAAAACAGTCGATGACTTTCTTATTCATCGGTGGTTGCTAAAACATCACTATCGCGCACCTGAGCTTTGATATCTTGACATAATGTCACTCAAAAGTAAATGTTGCTTAGTAATTATAAAAGGATAAAGCTCTTGGTGTTGATTAATCCCTGAGCGATGCGCCATGCATCCGACTTCATTAACCATCGTTTGGAAGTGATTGAATGCATATCTGGCCTTTACAATGAATCACGGTTGCCTACTGATGTATCGAGCCAGTGCTATATCCTCTCACACAAATCTGCTGCTAATTTGCCGACACCGGAGGGATGAAAGGCTTGGTGGGCCATGTGTGCGGGAATCGATTCCACGTGTGTGTTGCAGGGCGCCTCCGACCACTTCGCCTCACGCACCCTTTTCACTTAATAATTAGACTCGCAAAATAATGTTATTGTAGTGAAAAAATCATGTGTCAGTTGTTGGTTACTTTCTCATTCCACGAAGTCTCCAGTAAAATTGAAAGAGGCATTTTTAGGAAATACAGGAACCACTTTTTCATGCGTTTTAAACGATATTAGTTTGCTGGTCTCAGTCATGGAGTAAATTAGCGGTCTAAGCGAAAAAGAACCCTCAGAGAAGATTTAGCTTACGACAAAATAGATGGAAATTTTTCTGATGGTCTACTAGTGTCACTCATCGGTGATTGGCCGGAAGACTAACCATCCTATAGGGAAATACATGCGTACCGCTGACGTAATGCTTAAAGTGAAGTCATACCCAAGGTGCATCCCCAGGGATTGACTACTACCTAGCGCGTTATTTTTTCTTACTTGGTTACTTGGAAGACCCGTTTTCACAAGTTGTGCGGAACCTAGGGTATTTCCCATTCGTTTCTTTGCTTCGCAGTCGTCGTCCATAGTGGTGGCTTCATTCGATCATGGTGGCAAGTGCGAGTCGAATACCGTTACCTGTAAAGCAACTGCAGCAGTGAGCACAGCTGTGCAACTTTAGTTACGAACACGTCCGCGCAACATGTAGGTGATCTACCTGGTGGACCTTTCTTCCGCCTCCATGGAGCCCACTCTATAATTCTTTTCGTCCATCTGTCGTCTGTTCTTTCAATTATTTGACCGATACATTTATGTTTCGCTATGAATGTGTGTTCCCCTGGTTCTCGAAGATGATGGAGATCTCGGTGATCAGAGTTTCGCATCTTAACTAAATATTGTGTCCGGCGGTTATGTTTCAAAAAAGATCGTTCAAGAATTGTGTGGCAATGCTCAGTATACTTGGCGTTATGGAAATATCGCTCCACCCTCTGCTGCATACACTGCGAGGGCTGTCAAATCGAGAAGATGAGCACGGATTTTCGGGTCTTTAGTTGATCGGTGGCTTCTTTAAGAGATCCAAATGCGAACCAAGCTGCTCCTTCTTCTGTCCAAATCCTCCTTCATTTTGTTTCCCATGTCGAAGTTACATGTAGGAGATGGTCACTGTAATAAATGAATCCTCCAATTTGATTTGTTCGCTCTCCCACCTTTTCTTCTCATGAACTGCATTTCCTTCCGATTTATGCGCATTCTGTTCTTTTTTCTCGCTTTGTTGAGCTTATTGATCACTGCCTCTGCTTCGTCGCTTTTTCTTGAGAAGATGACGACGTGGTTGGAGAAATGAAAATTTCATAGGAATCTGCCATCAATTCGTATATCTTTATCACCCAATCGGCTTCATTATCAATTGCAATGCGCAGAAAACAACCTTGGTGGTATATTATCGCCTTATCGAACCCCTTTTCCTATGGGTATGGTAGAAGGTCGTTTTAAAAGCTGTACTCAGACAGAGTTCTTATGTAGGACGGATCCACTCCTTGGTCGACGAGCACTGATTGGATCACATTCGTTTTGACATTGTCAAACGCTTTTTCCTAGTCGACAAAACTTGTGACTAGAAGTGGTGTTCCCAACAAACTTCAGCATCAGACGCGACCCCAGACATGGTTTGGATGTGGCCCATGCGGCAGAACCATGTCGCAATCTTGCTTGCTCAATTGGTTGCGCCTCATCTCATGTACTTGGTATGCGTGACAAGATAATCTTTGTAAGGGGCTTGTAGTTTACACTAAGCAGACATATCGGGGAATGACTAAGAAGATATCTTCGATCAACTTTTTTAGGAGGGGGATTTAAAATGTACAGATCTTTGCCTACAAATTACACTTTATGCTATTCTACCATGATGTCATTCCGAGTTACTGGAGTCCACGAGACATTGTTTACTCTACGATGGTTTTCCTTCATGTTGGCGTTTGCGGCTGCTGCGCTTGCGCGGACTTCTTAATTATTTGGATCTTGTCTTCAGTTTTTTTTTCAATTTATGTTTTAAATGTACTCAGAATTGTGCGCCTGGTTTAAAGGAATTATATATATATGTGGATATAATTTTGCAGAGGTAGAGCAAACCCTCTTCTACAAATCTGTGAAGAGGTAAGTTTCTTAAATGCTCTATTGGTCGGAGAGTTTTCATCAGTGGTAAAGAAACCAGCTTCAAGTGTTATGTACTACACAGCTGAGTAGAATGTATTAGCAAATACTCATATAAAGATCATTTTTCTATTTGCACTTCTTCTGTTCCATTGTTGATATTTTTCTGTTTGATACCTTTCTCTCCACTAAGCTGTGGTTTTATCGGCACTATTGGCTGTAGAGTGAATATAAGAATCACATATTATATTTAACACACACGTGACGATTTGACTTCCGTGCGAGTTCACTAGGTATCGTTAGAGATGAGTGAGGATACATTTGGCCTTAGCCATAGCGTTTGCAATGACTCGACATATCAAGCCAGTGCTGCTATCCTCTCAAAGAAGTCTGGTACCAATTTGCCGACATAGGAGGAATGGAAGGCTTGGTGAACTTGGTACGCGGGGATCGATCCCATATGTATTGCAGGGCTCCTCTGACCACTGCACTACTCGCGCTCCTACATTAGCTATCGATAGAATAAAAAAAAATTGGTGAAGAAGCTTTGTGCAACAAAATAAACCACGCCAACAAAGAAAAAGATGCATGGGAATCAACGCGCATTAGCAATTACGTATTAATATAGCTCGACTTCCAATGACGTTTTGGTATTTCCTGATATTTACTATTTTAATGGCTTAAGATTTACTATATTGACACACATTTTTTAAACTGATTTCATTGCATTAATGTTACAGATATGCACCACATACAATTGCTATCATACTTCTTGTATTAATTGTCGTTGTACGAGCTCCAACAATATATGCCCTTATGATTCTCTACCAGGTGAATTTTTTATTTCAGAGGAAAGAGCAGAACGAGTATGAAAATGAAATTGAAGTCATCAGTAGCAGGAAAATGATAATGTGATGACTTTGAAGTAATTATTTCAGCATGAAGAGAAGCCACTTTTATTGACATGCATCGTTGTTGACGTTATTTATTTATTCACATGGATTTTACTTTGGTTGATGCTGACGTTGAAGAGGGAATGGTCCTTCAACATCGCTCACGCAGTTCACCAGATTTATGCCCTCCAGGTGTGCAGTGTCGAAATTAATTAAGAAACTTCTATATTGTATTAGTTTTTGTCTTTTGTTTTTTCCTCTACATTTTCTTTTGTTATTAATCCATTTCAATCTTGTTTCACCTTATATATCAGTTGTTTAGCTCAAAATTTAAGGAGCGTTGCAATTTTTCATACTTCGAGAGAACTATACATAACGCTTTTTTAACTAGCTGACAGGCGAAACAAAGGGGCCCGCATGGTGTGGTGGTGAACGCGTTAATCCCCTCAAAGGACAATAGCGCGTTCGTTCCCCACCTCTGACACCTTTGGTCCGGAGTTTTGCAAATATCTCGGCATCATTATAGTTATATTTCGTTGTTTTTATTTTTTATTGTACACAACCCGTCTTCGACTATACGATATATTACAGAAACATTCTTATAGTGTCTTGTTTCTAAGGAGATTTTCTGTCTCGAACTCTATCCCTAATAACCAGGAAACATTCGCCTATTATGTTCACTTCACTAGAAGTTCTACTCAGAAGAGAAATTTTAGAAAGGGATAGCATCCGGTCACATCATGGGTAATGAAAACCCATCGCAGTTAAAAAATTCTCTGATTGTTATGCAGAGAGACCACGTAAGTTCTCCGTTTTGCTGATCTGCAGCGCAGTAATCTCAGATAGAAAGCTTTTCAGATGTTTGTCACCGATGATCAAGCGCTGAAGCAATCATTGTTGCGGCATTTACAACATGGTTATTTCGAGGCGCCTGAAGAGATGTATTGGTCGAAGTCTAATGGAAATCAAAGCAGTCCTAGCACACGGTTATATAAGCGACTATTTACGTTATGAGACGAATGCATAACTCAGAAATTCATTGACTGACCATTATAGAAAGCTCCCGCTTGGCCAAAGTACGAATAGCACGCCAGAAAATTCGCGCCTTATTCATCGCCCAGTGGAAGAGCCGACGGCGGTTTACAACTCGGTATTTTTACTCATTATTTTGCACATTGCTTTTTGTCCCATTTTGCTAGTTTTTATGAGAGAAGTTTTAAAATTTCCATTTCGGTACTAACGCAACTATTGAAGGTTGTGCGACACGTGCATGATGTAACACCTTCAGCACACAGTCCCGGGCGAGGTAATAGTTCATCAGATGGGAGAGCTCAGAATACTTTTGGCACATTACAGGTTCTTAAAACTGTTTTGGTCTCGGCCTTTGTAATACTTTAAAAGAACTGGTTATTAAGAGAAATCAGAATGGCGGATACACCTCAACATTACAAAGGAATTCATCTGTGCAACGTTCACTAGCCACTAGCCAGTGGCCTACGGTACTTCTATTGCAGTTTTTTTTATTCATGTTATCATTATCTCTTTATCCATCTTTCTGCAGCAACAAGAAGCCTATGCCTCAATCCATAAGTCGAGAGAGCATCAACTATATGATAGAAGAGAAAGCGCTGACACACCACACTATGGCAAAGTGGAAAATAACTACAACACTTATGGCACATATGCAAGAATGCCACTGCAGGTATAGTGTCACCTATTCGATGTTGTTCTCCAATAAGCAGACACGAGGTTGTTATTATAGAATTTATTAGATACAATAGCTGATGTTTCGGCGGTTTCGCCTTCTTCAGAGCCCGGAGAGGTCCTCTTAAAGTCTGTTTAAACTGCTCGATCTTCAGATGGTCCAGGAAATATTACGCGCAAATTAGAGGGTTGGCAATGGGACAGCGACTGGCACTAACCGTTGCCGTTGCCTTCATGTCCAAAGTGGAAGCACCAGTAATCGATCTCAGGCCATTAATCTGCTGTAGGTATATAGATGATTGTTTTGTCATATGCTCCACACAAGAGGAGATGGACAAATGCTTTGAGTTATTGAACGAACAGCGAGAGTACATAACTTCCATTTCTAAACGTTCAAATCAACCTATCCGAAAACGGCTACATCAC